TCTATGAGGCTGAGGCCAGACACAAATGCCTTTATCCTCCAAACTTCCTTACTAATTCTGACACCAACTGTCCACAACACTCTCTACTTCTCAACTTAGTTCAGGAAATTATTGTAGTGGCCACAAAGAACTCACAGACCATACCTATGATTATGGGCTTTCTTAGGGAAGTGAATAGGTTATCATTGAGGATTACAAGTATTCAGGCCAAGTTCAGGACAGCTCACAGGCAGGCCTCTCTGGCGCTTGGCCCTTCAGCTTGGCCTCTGTCATACTCATGCCATGCTACAAGTATTATTCAGCTCAAAATACTATAATTTCCCTTATGATTTCTTCTTGACCTTCAGATTATTTGACATGCATTGCCTCATTTCTAAACAACTGGAGACTTTCTAGTTATCTTTATATTACTGATTTGTAGTTTACTTCTGGTTGGTGAGAGAATATACTCTGATTTTAGTTCTTTGAAATTTGTTAAGCCTTACTCTATGACCTAACATGTGGTCAGTTTTGATATATAATCTGTAAGCTCATGAAGTCGAAACTAATGTCTGGATATTCATTAAATTTAAAAAACAAAAAGAAACAAAGAAGGAAAAGCTAACCCAAAGAGAGAGGAAGGAAAGAAGTAAGACTATAACATAAAATCAACCAGTTTAAAATGAACAATTCAGTATCACTGAGTACATTCACCACCTCTGTCTTGGAGTCCTGGTGTGGTGCTCTGGGCTAATGCGCTGGACTGCAGTTAGTTTAAACTGCAAGGTCAGCAGCTCAAGCTCACCAGCAACTCCTTGGAACCCTACCCAGGGTTGCTATGGGTCGGAAGCGACTTAACAGTACTTAGCAGCAACAACATCTTGTATCAAAGCATTTCATCACCACAATGTTCCTGTTGACTCCTGGTGATCAAATAACTCTTCTCCAAATGTTTGTTACTCATCTTTTAAATGTAATATATTGTAATAAACTATGTATGGGAGTATTGATGTGGTGCTGTAGGATTAACCGCAAGATCAGTAGTTCAAGCCCACCAGCTGCTCCTTGGACCCATACACAGGGTTGCTACGTGCCAGAACCGACTCAACAGAAATTAACAACAGTGAAAGCAACCAGAGAAAATCCATTCAATGATATAATTACTGTGATTTATTTTTAATACTAATACTAATATTTTATTTAATTTTTAAAACTATTAAAGAAGACTGAGAGTATTGTATGTTTACTGAAGGGAATAATCAGCTGCATGTGAGGAAAGACTCTCTGCAGTTAAAGCTGATGAACCGTGCAATGCAAAAGCAGGAAGTTGTCCATTTCTAGAAGTATTTGTTGTTAGCAGCCTTTGGCTGACTCACACCTCACACCAACTGCTACCTGGGCTTGAATCATCTCCAAGATTGGTTGGGGGCCAGACTGTTGTCATCCATGGGTTTTCACTGGCTAATTCTCAGAAGTAGACTGCCACGTCTTTTTTTCCTAGTCTGTCTCATCTGGAAATTTGGCTGCAACCAGTACAGAACAAGCCTACACTGACAGGTAGTTGGGCTGTGCATGAGCTGCACCAGCCAGGCCTCCCACACTTGGAGGCTAGAATTCCATCAGTGAACCACCAGAGCCTCATGAAGAGTTTTCAAGGAAAACTAAAAGGCCTTCTCCCCACCCCTTGCCCCCATGATGAAGATCAAAAAGTCCTTTAAGGTTAGGGAACAGCACTTGATTACATGAGAGCCTCTCGAATTGTGGTGGCAGAGAACCCTAGTTTTTTTTAAAACTTCAGATTGGTGGTGGATCAGTCTTTTTGCAAATCACGAAAGCCTCACACATTCTGACATCTCAGTACCAAAAAAGTTTCTAATCACTTACCATCTCTTTCTGATTTTAGTTGGTTCACACTGCCACACTGTGTGTTGGCGCACTGTGACTGGCACTGACAGACAAACTACACACTAGGAGTAGCACTGGATATTAGGTGACCCCTAAGAAATATCCCTCAGACCACAGGTTTTCAAATGGACCTGCTCAGTCCTCCTTCTGCTATCCTTGGGCATTAATATCAAACTAGTGATTTCACAACAACTAATTTCATTCTTCAGCAATTTAGCAAAGGCAGCAATCTAAAAGATACTAGTCTGAAAGCATTAGATCAAGGACCTGAGATGTGTTTACTTCATTAACCTTGTATCTCGCTAAATGAAAAGAGCAAATTGTACTTTTATCTCAACACATCTGAATGCTCTTTTAATACTGGTTACAAAAAAAAATTATTTTCAGCCATTTCCCACACCTAATTTTCTGGTGTCACTTTCTCTGCATAAGCTGATAATGAAATGTGTAACAAATTATAGCTGATCACACATAGAAAGTCCCAAATTTATTCTACCATCTGGTAGCAAAACCAACAGAAAAGCAGTGGAAGAAAACACAAATGAATTTTGGAAGCAATGGTTTAGGATGCACAGTTTTGTAATCACCTATGTGGCACTGTAAAATAAGAACTGGATCACAAGGTCATTTGAATCACAAGGGCAGCAGTTTAAACCTACCAGCCATTTCTGGGAAACCCTATACAGAGTCGCTATGAGTCAGAACTGACTCAAGGGCACTAAATAACAACCACATAACACACAGTTATGGTATATTAGCAAATACATGAGAATTCAAAGAGAAGGCAAATTCAGCGCTCGCTCTCCATTCAGATCTGCACAAATAATCTTGCTTTTCTCTCTCCAAGGATGATGAGTTTTGTTAATCTGTTATCTTTTTACTATATAAAGAAAATAAAACTTCCTTCTCAAGAGATTATTTCCAAATTTATGAGTTATCATCTCCCAATTCAATTTTACACTATTTTTTTCCCCTCCAGTAATTAAAAATTCCTTAATGCACTAGACTTCTTTTAGTGCACAGGTTTTTAAACTACGAATCTATGGATGGGCTTTACAAAGTCTACAAATAATTTTTTTAAATTGTGGGTGGATGTGCAATTATATGACGAAAACATCCTTAATTTGTACTACATTCTTAGAGGGTACAATAATCCAAAAAGATTGAGAGTACCTTTTTTAGATTAAAAATATGATCTGAGTGGAAACAGGTATGTTTCTGAATATTCATATAACAACTCCATAGTAAACCATGTAACCAAAAATGCTCTTCATTCTGTAGATGATAAAATAGAGGTTAAGGGAAGGCTCCTGGCCACGCTGCTAGTTGCAAGGCAGAAGCCACAGGAAAATGCTAGCTTCTAGCTCCCAAACAGGGCCAGCTAGGAGGATACTAGTTTGCTTAGGGTCAATAAGAAGTTATTTACATATTACTGGATCACAAGATACAAATTTTCTATTTTACTAAAGGTTTCTAAAAATACATATTCTCTTAGGACATTCTAGAGTTAGCTTTCTGCTAACATTAACAACTTGTCGGTCTTCTGAAAGAGGAGTGCTAGGTCCTACTGTAACCAATCAGAGCAGCACATACACTGGATCTGGACAGACAAGAAGGTGTTTTGGAGACTAAAGGCTTAAAGATCTTTCTTTTTTAAAACAACTGCAGGCAGTTCCTGGGCTCAGAACAAGATCTGTTCATTTGTCTTTAAGCTGAATTTGTAGGTAAAGAACAAGTACACACAGCTCTTATTTAAACTTAACTTCAGTGCAAGAAAGGAGCCTTGGTGACACTGTAGGCTAAGCATTGGACTGCTAACCAAAAGGTTGGTAGTTAAACCCATCAGCCACTCCTGGGGAGACAGATGAGGCTGTCTGCTCCCATGAAGATTTCCAGTCTCAGAACTAAGGAACAGTTCGACTCTGTCCTGCATAGCTGTGAGTCAGAATGGCAGTGGGTTTTTAGTTCTGTGCAAGAGAAGGCTTGGAGCCTTTTCAATGATTCAAAAGCTGGACACGCAGTAAGTGAAGATGATTGTGATGAAGAATCTGTTGCAAGTAAGGTGGTTTAATCATTTCAACATGAGGACAAATTTACATACTACTAAAGGGCAAGTATGAGTTGTCCATAAGTCAGATGTTGTTAACCTGAGTACTGCTTGTACGCTGAAAGCCCACAACACAAAGAAAATCAGTTGAGTGGATCTATCAGTTAAGGCTGCTTAGAAATTTTAAGCAAAACCTCTTTCAGAGTTTGTATTCTCTTGTTTAATCACACTAAAGAATAGCAAATGCAAAAACCAAGGGAGATAACGTTTGGTGAAAAGTATTTTTATAGTAAGTAATTAAGTGAGAAAGTGTAAGAATGCCTTATTTTGGTGTCAGTGAACATGGGTGGGAATCAGAATTTATTTTTAACTTTTTTCGAAAATAGCTGGAAACCTGAAAGACTGTAAATAAGAATCCAAGAAACCCTTCACTCCTCCCACCCCCCTTTGACTTCTGAAATACAGTGCAACTTTCTACCATCTGTTATTTTAAAGTAGAAACCGTAACAAACATATGGGCTTTCTCTCTCAAGCAGCTGTAATGTAGTTAAAGTTATATTAATTGTCTTTCTGTAAGATAAATTTACATTAAAAACCTGGCCAGTTAAAAACAAATAGCTCAGTCTTACAGCATTCCAGAACATAATTTAAAAATCCAGAATCATTCATGATATATTGCATCCAGAGACGTGCATCTTCTAAATGTGCACTTCCCTACATAAGATTAAACATACACAGTCCGTGACTCCCAGATCAGTTTACACAACTGAAGAGCCAACAACCAACAACTTACCTCTTCTCTTTTCCGAACAAACATTAGGAACCTCAGAGTTCAGGTACCTATGTATTAAAATGTCAGCAACTATGTCCTCAAAAGCTGAGTATAATAAATCTACCACTTCTGGGATCTGCATACCAAATCCAAAGACTCATTTATTGCTAAGGAAAAATCACAACAATCAAGAAATATAAGCTGTCTCATTCATACATCATCTATAATGAGTTTAATTGAAAGGAATTCAGATCATATTCTGGTCCACACAGTAAGAACAATAGGAATTCCACCTACCTTTATCTGGATGGTTCAAAATCATGATTCTCCTGTGGGCTGTTCTAATTTTGGCCTTGCCAGCAGATGGACTGTAAAAAGAAATTAAAGTGCTTACAATAAATAGTGTCAAATGCTGACTGTAAATTAACAATTTATTTGAGTTTTAAGAAATTAAAAAATAATGAAAATTTCCCCATCTTGTGGACACACATGAAATTACAGCTTTTCACTTAATTTCAATATGTTGCATGTTGTTAAGGACTGTGGAGTCCAACTCATAGTAATCCTGTATAGGGTTTCCAAGAAGTGGCTAGTGGGTTTGAACTGCTGACCTTGTGGGTAGCAGTCCAGTGCTTATCCTACAGCACCATACCAGGACTCCAATAATAATAAAAATATATCATTCAATCTATTTTCCAATGCTGCACGTATTTTTCTTCAGTCTTTTGTAATGCTAATTCAAATTCTCACTCAAGTATAAAAATAAAACACAATGTATGTAGAGTAGGTAAATCATAGCTTACAGATGGAATTTTTTAAATTCCAGTTCTTTTTGGAAATATACAAAGGAGCTTCAAAATGTTCAAGACAAAAAAAGGATTGGAAGATAATGGATTTTTTCTGCGAACATTTGAAGTCCCCTCATAGGAAGTGTGGCAGATAGATATTTGGACTCCAGAACTAGACTGCCTAATCATAATCTCAGCCCTGCCATTTCTAGGAGCCCTCATGGTAGACTGGGTTCAGTGGTGAGCTAACTAAAACATAGCTCTTTGGAACCCACTAGCTGCTCTGCAGGAGACAGATGAGACTGCCTGCTTCCATAGAGATTCACAGCCACAGAAACCTAGGGAGCAGTTGTATGCTGTCCCCGAGAGTCGCTACATGTCAGAATTGATTCAATGGCAATGTGTTTTTTGTTTAGCAGCAGCCCTGTCCGTGCAGAGGTGAGCTCTCAGTTGCTAACTATAAGAAGGTTGGCAATTCAAACCCACCAGCTGCTCTGTGGTAGAGCAATGTAACAGTCTGCGTCACTAAAGATTTACATCCTTGGAAACTATGAGACAGTTCTACCCTGCCCTTTTAGGTTCCAGTAAGTTAGAGCGAACTCTACAGCAAAGGTTTTGGTTTTTTGTCTTGGTTAACCTCGAATTATTTAACCTCTCGTGCTTTAGTTTCCTCATGCAAACTGGAGCTAACAACAACATATTTCTCATAAAGCTGTTGTTAAGGATTACAACAAATGAACTAATGTCTACAAAGTACTAGAATAGCGCCTGGCATATGGAAGTGCTCAAATCCAGCTTTTATTAGTATTATGTTTTTAACACAAAATCTTAAAATCCCTCATCTCATAATTAATTTAATTTTGTGGAAAAGCTGTTGAAAGAGTCTATCTTGAGGCTGAAATTGACCTGTGTAACATCCTGCAGTTGTTGTTAGGTGCCGAGTCGGTACCAAACCATAGTGACCTTATGCACAGCAGAAGGAAACACTGCCCGATCCTGGGCCAACCTCGCTACTGTTGCCACACTTGGGTTCATCGATGCTGCCACTTGGCCAATCCATCTCATAGGGGGTCTTCCTCTTTTTCTCTGACCCTCCTACCTTATCAAACATGATATCCTTCTCCAGTGACTGGTCCCTCCTGACAATATGGCCGAAGTATGAGAGACAAAGTTTGGCCATCTTAGTCTCCAAGGAGCACTCTGGCAACACCTCTTCCAAAACAGATCTATTGGTTCTTTTGACAGCCCATGGCACTTTCAATATTCTCCTCCAACACCATAACTCAAAAGCACCAATTCTTCTATGGTCTTCCTTATTCACTGTCTAGCTTTCACATGCATAAGAGGTTATTGAAAATACCATGGCTTGGGTCAGGCGCACCTTAGTTCTCAAGCTGACATCTTTGCTCTTCAACTCTTCAAAAAGGTCTTGTGCAGCAGATTTGCCTAATGCAATACGTTGTTTGATTTTGTGACTGCTGCTTCCGTGAGTGTTGATAGTTGATCCAAGAAGAATGAAGTCCTTGACAACTTCAATCTTTTCTCTGTTGATTAAAGAATGTTTATTGGTCCAATGGTGAGGATTATTTGCTCAGCATACAGGTTTAATAAATATGATCAAAGAATACAACCCTGTTGTACACTTTTCTTAATTTTAAACCATTCAGTGTTTCCATGTTCTGTTCGAACAACCGCCTCTTGTTCCATGTACAGATTCCTCAAAAGCACACTTAAGTGTTCAGGTATATTCATACTTCGCAATGTTGTCCATAGCTTGTCATGATCCACACAACCGAAAGCCTTTGCGTAGTCAATAAAGCACAGGTAAACATCTTTCTGGTATTTTCTGCTTTCGGCTAAGATCCATTGAACATCAGCAATGATATCCCTCATTTCACAGCCTCTTCTGACTCTGGCTTGGACCTAAGAAAGTTCTTTGTCAATGTATGCTTGCAGCCATTTGTATTATGATTGGGTGGGATCATGCAAATAAGGTATACTGAGTATAAGACTTCAGTTGGTTCGTTTTGCTCTCCTGCTAGATTTAAAATGGGCCATCTCAGAAGCAGAGATGGAAGGACCATCTCAGGAGCATCAAGAAGGAAAAGCATGAATGGCATGTGAGATCCCTACGTAGGCAACAGCAAGAGGCAACGTCAGAAGCAGTGGCATGGAGAGACACAGCAGCTTCAGGCTATAGGCCTATGGACTGAGCAAAGCTGAGTGCCTATGGGCAGGAGACTGGATTTGAAGAATGTGCCCTTTTGGCATTCACAGACTGGTTAAAAGAATTTTGCAATATATGCTTGAGCAAGGCAGAGGTCAAAAGACCGCATGGCTGAGAGGCTGAAGACAAGAGTGAGGTGTGCCTGCAGTATGGCAGACAGGAGGCATTCCTAACTGGAGAACTCGTACATCCTGAGCTGGGTTTGATCCTGAATTGTACCCTGTTCATTTCCCTATTAAACCCATAATCGTGAATATTGTTATGAGTACTTTTGTGTGGTTACTGCAATGGATTGTTGAATCCAGATGTGAAGCAGAGAGCACTGTGGGAGGGATGGCTGGTGTCAGAATAGGGTAAGGTAGGCTGCAGGGTGGAAGCATGTTGACCTCGGTTTCATAGTAATCGGCCTTGGGCTGATTTTGAGTTTGTTTCTCTTTCTGCCTGTGTGAAATCAGACATTGCTCCCACATATTTTTAGCAGTTGGTAGCATAGTGGTTACGAATCAGGCTACTAATCTCAAGTTCAGCAGTTCGAAACTACTAGCGGTTCTGTGGGAGAAAGAGGAGGCTTTCTGCCCTCATAAAGATTTATATTCTTGGAAATCCTATACAGGGTCTCTATGAGTTGGAACCAACTCCACAGCACACTGTTGTTGTTGTCGTCAGGTGCCATCAAGTCGGAACCGACTCATAGCGACCCTATGGACAGCAGAACGAGACAATGTCCGATCCTGGGCCAACCTCACTACCGCTGCCACACTTCAGTCTATCAATGCTGCCACCTGGCCAATCCATCTTGTTGGGGGTCTTCCTCTTTTTCTCTGACCCTCCATCTTACCAAGCATGATATCCTTCTCTAACGACTGTTCCCTTCTGACAATATGTCCGAAGTATGAGAGATGAAGTTTAGTCATCTTGGCCTCTAAGGAGCACTCTGGCTGCACTTCTTCCAACACAGATCTGTTGGTTCTTTTGGCAGGCCACGGCACTTTTAGTATTCTCTTCCAAACACCACAATTCAAAGGCATCAATTCTTCTATGGTCTTCCTTATTCACTGTCCAGCTTTCGCATCCATATGAGGTTATTGAAAAGATCATGGCTTGGGTCAGTCGCACCTTAGTTCTCAAGCTGACATCTTTGCTCTTCAACACTTTAAAAAGTTCCTGTGCAGCAGACTTGCCTAATGCAATACGTCGTCTGATCTCTTGGCTGCTGCTTCTGCAAATGTTGATAGTTGATCCAAGAAGAATGAAGCCCTTGACAACTTCAATCTTTGCTCCATTGATAAGAATGTTGTTTATTGGTCCAGTGGTGAGGATTTTTGTTTTCTTGACATTGAGATGTAATCCATACTGAAGGCTGTGCTCTTTGGTCTTCATCAGTAAATGTTTTAAGTCCTCTTCACTTTCAGCAAGCAAGGTTGTATCATCTGCATATCGCAGGTTAATGAGTCTTCCTCCAATCCTGATGCCACGTTTTTCTTCATAGAACCCAGCTTCTTGTATTATTTGCTCAGCATACAGGTTAAATAAGTATGGTGAAAGAACACAACCGTGTCTCACACCTTTCCCAATTTTAAAACATTCAGCCATAACCACCACCAAATACTAACACTATCAAAGATTATTGTATTATAAAACGTTGCAAGTGAAACAAAAAAGGAGACAGATGGAGAATAAAAACCGTATTTATAAAGCTAATCAACTGTGAACTACTAGATAAAGTAGACATTGCTAAGTGCCATCAAGTCGGATCGGACTCACAACAATTCTGTATAGGGTTTCCAAGGAGCGACTGGTAAGTTTGAACCGCCAAACCTGTGATTCAAACTGACTTTGTGGTCTAGTTCGTTATCTCACAGCACCATGCCAGGACATAAGTTAAGAAAAATATAAGTTTCCTGTTGCATATAATCTCTGGACTCCAAGTGTGGCACTGTAGATTGATAACAGAAAGGTTGGCGGTACCACAGAACCAACTTCACAGCACTTAACAACAGCAGCAGCAGCAACAGTGATCTCTGGGGGTAGGAACAGTGGATAGCCAGTAGAATTATAGCCTACACTGGATGTTAAGTTGTAACTCAGCAAGTAGAGCAACATCTGAAGATTACTTTAGTTAAAATTACCTCAGAAAATCACTTCAATTCCCATTAAAAACTTCATGTATGGTTTTGTATTTAAGACTCCATTAAGCATTAAGTATAGTGAGGACTGCCAAACACTGAATAAGAGTAAAGTATGAGACATAAGGAAGGTTCATAAACAGTAGTGTGGGCATTCCAAACATACTGCCTTTCAGATAACAATCATCAGACTCCTTGTGGTAAACTTTAGGGATGAGTGGAAGGAT